GACCAATTTGTCTAGTTAATATATCGATTACTTGTGGATCATTATCTTGTACAAGTATGTGGCCACTATCAAGATCTTTTATTCTTCGAGGCATTCTTATCCATTGAATTGTTGGAGCAGGATAACTATCAAATTGACATTTCATAATGGCTAAAAAGGAAAAATAAAACCAGTAGAATTTATCTATTACAAATTGATATGTCTTACCGCGATAGTTAGGAACACTGAATATAACTGATTTCTCTGGTCCCATAAAAACAGGTTTATCTTAAATGAATAATACATAAATAAATAGAAAAGAATTATTTGAATATTTTTAATTACATTCAACAAAAAGATTAGCAACAGTTGATGTAATATCTGCTAGATTTTTTGCTAAACATGTATAATTTCCATGATGTTCTCGGCGTACAGGATCAAAACGTAATTCAACAAAACGATTCAATGCTAATTGACTAACATCAACCGATATACCATTGATTGGCTATGAACAAACAACAAAGCAAATATTAATAATCGTTTCTTATTCTATTCAGTAGTGTGCAGTTTTTGGTGAAAATACTGAAATATTGACAGTGATTTGCCGAAAATGAGTCTATAGACTGCACTGAATCGACGTTTACTGAGTACTAACGATCACTGGCAACACTCATCGGATCCAAGAATTATCAGATCCGGATCTCGTCGGTTAAATTCTTTTAGGCTCAAATTCGAACACGAGAGTAACTAAGTTTAAATATTATAGTCAATAAGAGTTTTGTTGCATCTTTTTTCTATAAGTTGAAGGCTTTTTGAATAAAACAAACAAAAACTTGAAAAAATTCAAAAAATATTACTATGTGCATCAAAGTTTTCTTTCGATTCAGATCCAATAGACTCTATTCATTAGTGCACTGACACACTAACTACTCTGAATTGATATTCTTGGAAAGTCAGATCCCTAATTCTATGTGAATCTTACTTGTACAGGAATACCATCAATAAGGACCCATTCTAAAGTAAGACTTTCTGCTGAACCACGTAAAACACGACAAGTGAAAGCTGCTCGTTGTGGTGGAGCAGTTTCATCAAGATTAATTTTTATTGGAGGAATAGGTGCAAGACGAGGTGGAACTAGAAAATACCAAAAACAAGAAAAATAACTTAATTTATATTTAGTTGTGTTATAACTTTACCAATAACATTAAGCATATATTCAGCTCGTTGTCCACGTCGATCATAATCATTAAATACATGACAAGAATATCGGCCATTATCTGTTTCATCAACATAATTAATAACTAAAGTATTTCTACGAATAACAAATTTTGATATTACATTTGTACCAATTGGAACATCCTATTAAAATTAATTATTACAAATATTTATTTTGTTTTTTGTTTTTTCTATTATAAAATTTCAAAAACATACTTGTCCATAAAACCAAAGAATTTCTGGCGGTGGCATTCCACCTGCTTCACAAATTAAAGTAGCAGCTTGTTTTTCAACAGCACACGGTGCTGCACAAACAATTCTTGGTGATGTTATAGGTTCTAAAATATTTTATTAATAAAAATAAAATATTCTTTTGATATTATTTTTTTTTTGAAGCAACATACGAGCAATAATAACTTGAATTGGATAGTCTTTTGATTCTCCTGTTTCAAGTACATCAGCTTGACACCAAAATAGATCATTATCAGCTAATGAAACTCGATTGATTTTTAAACCATCATTGCTTCGTTCATAATTTGATGATACTAAATGAGTTTTATCACGTCCTTTAAACCAAGATACTTCAGCAGATGGATTTGCTAATACTCGACATTTAATCAATACAGCTGAATTTAATTCAGCATATTGAATTGGTTCACCCAAAAATGTTATTGGAACTAAAAAAGAAACAAAGAAAAAGTTATTAAACAATTGTTGTCTTTTTGGTATTCAATCTTAACCTTTAACATTAATTTGTAAAGTACGTATTAATGGTCGTCCAGCTAGATCCGATCCTAAACATTCCCATATCCCTTGATCACTTCGTGTTAAATTTCTTATGCGTAATCGTAATCCATATGTCTGTCGTTCGACTGTCACTCTATACAAAAGTATCAGACGAAAGAAAAAAAACTCGATATGATTAATTTACCTCGCCGTATCGTCTTCTTTAATATCAATTTGTAATGGAGATCTCCAAGTAGCTGAAATAATGAATAATATAACATTCAATAGAAAATTAACAACAACACAGACCAACTCGAGTGTTTGGTAATCCAGTGCATGAAGCAACAAATGATTTAAATTGATCACGTAACACTATTGATTCTGATGGTTTTATAACCAATTCAGCATATAAATTATTAATTAAATAAATAACTAAAGTGAATTTTGTGAACATGGTTTCAACTTAATAAAAATAACTTACTAAACAATATTGAAATATTTGTCATTATTTGCATTTGTTATTCTTTCGAACTTAACAACTATTTTTTCTTCTTTAGTATCTGACAAACACAAACGTGCCTAAAATAACATTTCTTATGATGAATATATATCAAAATGATTTAAATTAATATTCAAAACTAAGAATTGTGCCATGATTAGATATTTTATTTTGATATAGAAGACAAAAGAAAGATTAAATGATTTCTTATGAATTGAATATCAAAATTCAAAGAATGTTTTCTTAGGATAAACTATAGTTGGTATGGCAAACTGAATTATATTTATTACCTTCATTTAACAACTAATCTATGTTCATCTTCAACAAATCATTTGCATAACCTCATCCTAAAAGCATATATAAATCGTTATTCTTACCGTATCTTGTGATCGAACAAAAATTCTGATTTATTAATAACTCACTAAATTCACCTTCTTCTCCATCCGCTACTCGTGATTATACAGTCGATATATGTCCATCATTTTTTGTCTCTACAAACGATTAGAGTCAACAAACGTGTACGACATCATTACAACTATGACTTGTGTTTAATTTTATATTTATTAAATCGGGTACGTTAATACATTCGAACGAAACTAATTAGAGCAATGTTTACATAGCTATGATTATTCGACATTATAGATTGAGCTTGAATTCTCGAAATGAATATGGATCAACATTTGTTTTTACTTACTTTAATATAAATGATGGCGCTAGTCTCTTTCGTTGCTGTTATTTCATATATATGACCTCGGCTTCAACACTACTCTCCAACTTCGACATCGTAAAATTCAGTCTTTTTTTCTTTCTGTCGTTCTTGTTACTTTTTTTTTTCGTTCGCCGATGTTCTTCTGTCAATAGAGACAATCTTCTCTCTATTCTTTCACCTTCATCGGACAACGACAATTCATGGATGAGTACGAAAAGAAAATACGATGCTGTTTTTATTGCAAAGAAACATAAATGACCTTCAATAACTAAGAAATAATATCAAATAAAACAAAGTCATGAGACATTGATTTTCCACAAGGAACAGTTTTAATTTACAAAAATATTGTGTTTTTCAAATAGAAAAATAAAATTCGCTCAACAACACAAAGAAAATCAATTAAGAATTTTTTTTCTACTATTGTCTGATGTAAAAATAAGAGACTGTTTTTATTAGACGAATCAAGTTTGACAAACGATTTTTGAATTGAAGAATGTCGCTAAATGTTGTCATTCATAAGTTTTTATCCTATCATTATAATTATTTTAAAAAATGAACTCATTCATATTGATTGAAACGATGCATAAAGAGAATTTTGTGTATGTTTTTTTTTCCATTGATATCACTTGAAATTGTGACAAAAGTTCTCATAGAATTATCAGAGCTGAATTTTCTATTGACTAATCCTACTTAATAATTTGCAACACTTGTTGTGTATGTGTAATAAATGCATTGCAATTGGTTCAATTTGAATAACTATATAAATTATATATTTCAATAGTTAGTTCTAAATCAATTAAATTATCGAATGCTAGACAAACTAAAGAAATATTTAACAAATCTAACTATCATGAATAAATTACTAAATAATTTAGGTTTATCTTTGATTGATACTTTTCTTCTTCAATACAATAAAATTCTTCATTGAAAATTATTTCTTGTTGATCAAAACATTGGATACGGAAACAACGGATGAGCTGAAAGTTTTTGGACAAAATGTCTCTTCATTTTTCAAACAATTAGGAGATTCATCAAAAATTTTACAACATTTGGTAAAAACCAGAATTGTGTTCTATTTCTAAATCTATGTTCAGAATTTTTTTGGGACGCATAGGTTCAGCATTATGAACGAATCTTTGGAAAGCGTAAAAATAAATTTTGGATCGAAGCAGTTATACTAACAGATCAAGAGAAGGAAAATGTGATCGTACCTCGTTTGAAATCAGTTTTCTGCTCTTTTTTAGTGACTTCTCTCAGTACTTTCTTATCTCCGTCGTAAAAACGTCTCATTTGGCTTACGTCAGTCTCGATTAGTGAGCAGAATATCTTTTTTCTAGAGAAATCTTCACTCTTTCCTTGGATGTATTTAGGATAAATTTTGCATCTGCCCTATATGTGTCATTGTGCACGGAAATCCGTTCAAAATATATTTTCAGACTTTGCAAAAATTTGTTCATAACGTCAAACCTTTGCATCTCACAAAAATTTTGAGTAAAGATTTAGAAAAAGCACAAAGTCCTGGTTTATAACCACTATTGTAAAATTTCTGCTGCCTCTGCTCATCTGTCGAAAGATGAAGAAACATTTTGTCTCAATAATGTTCAAACCGCCCGTTAAATCACATTGATATTGATTATAATCTGCATAGCTTTATAATGCATTGAATGAATAGCGCCATCTTTCTGAATAACACAATATGATGAATTAAGATTAGAACTTGAACAAATTGTGATATTTTCTTTCTTTCTCGTCATTTGAAGTGCTGTTGTCGATAACAGAAATCAATACTATTCGACGATAGGTTTCCCTCGAATAAAACAAATACTGAATTTACATATATGTGATATAACATCAATTTTACAAAAACAATAACAAATAAAACATTGTGTTCTTATCAGCGTCTTTAATTTTCAAATTTGAGTAATTCATCACTTTTCAAACTAAAAAACTCATTGAGTTAAATTGTAAATTATTTGCTTGAATAAAATTTCGTGTTAAAAAATAATGATAACAATCAACCAACAATTCAAAACGAAGTATGCTTTGTATTGAATACATGAATAGTCTTTCTTTAGATCTATTCCTTTATAAAGATCGGAGAAGATATCCACAAAACAAAGACAATGACAAAGACATTTCAATCCAACTGTGCTAATTCTAATTTATTATTTCCCTTCAAATAACATCGAGAATAACGATCGCAATTGGATAACAAAAAAAAAAATGATGAGATTTTGCAGTTGAAATTTTTACTAATAAACTAAACGTTTCTCACTAATGTGAAACTTCACTTTTTTTTTATCAATGACAAATAACAATAAAGAAGATCACTATTTAAGAAACTGATAGTTTTAACTGAAGAAATGTCACTTGATGACGTGAATATATATATATATTGCAATTGAAATCAAACATTTATAACTAACGTGGACAAATAATAACCAAATGCTGATTTCTTTCATTTCAATATGAAAAACTTAACAAACATTTGCATTTTGCAGCTCTTCCGATAATCAACTCTAATACATTATTTATCAAGTATCATATGTCAGTAGCAATAAAACAATAGTATCACCTATCAATAGACAAGATATCAAAAACATCAAAAACATCACAGACGTCACGTTCACCTTTGATAAAAATGTTAATCCTTTTTAAATCCCGATCGAATGGCGTCACAATTGTTGATATCACATTCGGTTCTTACTATCTATTAAAATATCTATCTTGATTATTAATCATAATGAAAACATTTTCAATATTTTATTATTCAAAATTTTGATAAACAGTATAATAATCACACTTTATTTTAAAGCATAAGCAACCAAAGTATATGCATTTTCCTGATTCAATGTATGCCTAATTTAGGAAAAGAAATCTGTTATAAAAATAAATCAATCGTTGATATCATAATGGAAGCCGATTTGGAACGAAACATAAATATATCTAATATATATATATTATGGTTCAATTTGATTCGAAGAAGAACCTAATGGCGTCAATGATCTGTAAGATATTTGGCTTCGTGTTCCACAGATACCAAAATTTGTTGGTGGTGATTGAATAAGTCCTTCATATCGTCCGTTTCTTTCTACAGAAAAGACGATAGCCATGCCTGGCCAAAGATGCCATTCCATGTGACAATGAAACAACCACGGGCCGGGATTGTTTGCAGTGAAGCGAAAGACTACATAACTTGCACTTGGTACACTAAATGAATCACCTACACTAAGGACAGGCGGTGTTGAGTTAAGAGGTGGCAAAATAGAATTATAATCAAATTGTTTCATCTCTTGTTTTGTATGATCACATATAATCGATTCTCGTATGGGAATTTTTCCGGCAGCTATAAAATCAACTGCATATCCATGCAGATGCCAAGGATGTAATTGTGGATCATAATTAATCATCAATACTTCATAAGTTTGACCATATTCAAAATGTTCAATATGAGTAGCATGAATATTGTTAACACGACCAGGTCGTTCGTTTGCAACGATATGTTTAAATGTACCATCGAAGAAATTAGCATGAAGTAAAGGTTCTTTAGGTGGTTCGAAAGTAATTCCATTGACAACCCATTCTTCTAAAGAATCGATACCAGTACGATTATCCCAACGCACTTCAAACTCAAGTCTAACACGACGAACGGCAGGTGAAGCAAAACGAGGTTTTAATGGTTTTAGGTTTTTATATTCGAAAAATGAATCATCTGGACCCAAAGTCAAATCTTCTATTAAATGATCTGAACGCTTATCAACTTGTAGTTTTGAGTAAATAAGTAATGCCGATGTCCACATGGTTGGTGTCGGTCCAGGAATATTGCTCAAAGGTCGATAGCTATTTCGACTAGCAACAAGTATAGTATATTTTTTAGTTGGATCTTGATTACAATCGATAATAAAATCAAGCCGTTGTCCAATAGCAATGTGCACTTGAGGAACAGTAATGGGTGCAATCTCAATACCGTCTCGAGCAACAATAGTAAGATTATGTTGATCAATCCAGAAACGAAATGGAATACCACTAGCAGCATTTATTAATCTTAAACGTACTTGTTTTCCATGTGAACACAGAAATTCATCGACAGGATGTGCATTAGGATTACAAGGACCAAAAAAAGATGATCGAAGTGGTATACATTGAATAGAGTGTTGATAACCACAAGCATCTATCCAAGTACTTTTGTCAGAACAATTTGACGTACGACAATCAAATGTACCATGTCCATTAATTAAGAAAGAAGTAGGTGGCCATGGATAGATAGGTATATTACCTGGATAGGCACCATAAGGACCTTGATATGCAGTCATAATATCAGACCATGTTTCATGATACCATTCTTGTAACATAATAACATAATCGTTCGATCCATAATCATATCGTTGTTCAATAGCATCATGATCAATTATAATTGGACCTATTAATCCATCTGCATATTGTTGAGCATTATGTGAATGATACCAAAATGTTCCTGTTTGTGTTACATTAAATTCATAGGTGAATTTTTCATGTGGATTAGTAGCACATTGAGTAATGTGTGCCGTACCATCAGCCCATGGATTATTAATCATATGAAGACCATGAAAATGAATAGTTGTTGCTTGATCACGTAACATATTGGTAGTATGAATACGAAGTCGATCGCCAAGCTTTGCTCGAATGAGAGGACCTGGAAAAGGTCGATCGACATCCCATGATGAATTAGCATGATGCATGATAACTACAGATCTAGGATATCCATCAGGATTCGATGGAATACTTTGAATAATGAAATCATATTCTACGAGAGCCGTTTCAACCGTAAGATCATTATAAAATAGAAGCAAGCAGAAGATAAAACGAATGAACATAATTGTTTTTGCGTTCAAGTGCATTGAGTGATGTAGTATTGTGTTATTTTCGTTGCTTTCTAAATGATAAATATTTTGCTATTGTTTAAGATCAGTAAAAATTATAATCAGTATAAAAAGAGAAGATGTTTAACAAGAAAAAACGTTACCGTTAGTTCAGCTAAAAACTGAATATGTATATTAATTGGTTTAAAAGTAATCTACAAAGTATAGTAATACTTCGACATTGATAGGCAATTCACACTAATGTTCGATTCACCCAAATGCGCGTTTTTTTACCTTTCTGTTGTCCGGAGTATGGATATACATGCAGTCGGACACATTTTATCCTCTCATCCTTATTAATCCTAAACGAAGGATTAAGAATTGAATAGAGTGCAAAACATAAAAAGGATTGAAAGAAAATTTTTATCCTTTCAAGTAACATTTTTGACTAGCATCAGATTAAACATTTTCAATAAAAAAAAAACAATGCAAATAATTTATAATATTTGATTCTCTTTGAAAGGACTTCGTCGGATTTGCCAAACTATTTGCTTAGGAAAACTAAATACAGAGTTTTGTAGAGCTCGAAAAGTTACATCGAATGGTATATAGAACAGATTGGTTTCTGTCAAGTTTCATGAATTTTTCTTACATATACTGCTTTTCGGTATTAACAAATATTTAGGGTTACAAAAAGCTAGAACCCATATTAAAGTGACCCTATGTAGGTCGTTGTCAGAGTGCAGTAATAATTAGTGTTTTACTTAGTTTTGTAGAGAATTTTTTGCTCTACAACTCTGCTTATGTCATTATTTCGTTTGAAAGGAAAAATGTTTTTTTTTAAACCAAAAGCATTAAAACCTTTAATTCAAAAATGCTAGAAAAACCAAGAATTTCAATTTATTGGTATCAACGCCATTTTTTCTGAGAAACTACGTCTAGTCATGCTCTATCAGTAGCCATAAATACTATATTGAAAGTCGAAGGGTCTGAAGAGAAAACCATTAAATACTGTGCGGACCTCGCAAATTTTTGTGTCTTTTTTGTTGATATTTAGAAGATTTTAGTCAAAAAAAGTTACCTTTTGGCCCAAATCAATAAAATCTGACAACATATTTGGAATTAGCATCGAAAACTGAGTCGACTTATATGTGCTTCAAGTATTTTCATGAACTTTTATTTTCGCTCAAAAATTTACCTGGGGTCCCCCTCAGGATTAGGTCAGAACATGAATTTCATCAAAATGCTGTTTTCATTATTTAGTCATTTGCCTCTTTAGGTTCTAATAACATTTTATAAGCTTTGAAGTCAATTTGGACCGTCCCAACGATAGTTTGATGGAATTCATGTTTTGACCTAACCCTGAGGGGGACCCCAGGTAAATTTTTGAGCGAAAATAAAAGTTCATGAAAATACTTGAAGCACATATAAGTCGACTCAGTTTTCGATGCTAATTCCAAATATGTTGTCAGATTTTATTGATTTGGGCCAAAAGGTAACTTTTTTTGACTAAAATCTTCTAAATATCAACAAAAAAGACACAAAAATTTGCGAGGTCCGCACAGTATTTAATGGTTTTCTCTTCAGACCCTTCGACTTTCAATATAGTATTTATGGCTACTGATAGAGCATGACTAGACGTAGTTTCTCAGAAAAAATGGCGTTGATACCAATAAATTGAAATTCTTGGTTTTTCTAGCATTTTTGAATTAAAGGTTTTAATGCTTTTGGTTTAAAAAAAAACATTTTTCCTTTCAAACGAAATAATGACATAAGCAGAGTTGTAGAGCAAAAAATTCTCTACAAAACTAAGTAAAACACTAATTATTACTGTACTCTGACAACGACCTACATAGGGTCACTTTAATATGGGTTCTAGCTTTTTGTAACCCTAAATATTTGTTAATACCGAAAAGCAGTATATGTAAGAAAAATTCATGAAACTTGACAGAAACCAATCTGTTCTATATACCATTCGATGTAACTTTTCGAGCTCTACAAAACTCTGTATTTAGTTTTCCTAAGCAAATAGTTTGGCAAATCCGACGGGGTCCTTTAGGTTATGATTTTGAAGAAAAACTACACGAAATCATTTAATGAATTGTAGAACAGCTTAATTGCAAGTTTAGTTTACAATATTTCTTGTTTTCATTTTTGCTATGCAAACATTCGATCTAATGTTCATAAATAATGAGCACAGTGCTTTGTAAAATGTTTGAACAAAATTGATTTTGAAAACCAATCATTACAATTAGTATTGCAATTTACAATACAGTAGATTTGTTTTCAGTAATAGATATTGCAAAACTCTAGTCGAATTAATTCAAAACTCTTTTTTGGACAATCGATTTCTAGCCAAAGTAAGTTAATAGTAAACAAACAAGAATGACTAATGAGTTGTAGAATATGTTGAATTAATATCGAGTTATGTGAAGTAGCTTAGTCACCGCGAAAGAAAAACGATGACTAACGCGAAAAAAATTTTCTGTTTGGTTGTCTCCAAAAATGGATACGTTTAGGAAGAAAAAGAACAGAATACAAAAATGTGTTACCAATAAAAGAAAACAAAAAGAAAATGTAGAGCAGTAAACATGAAAATATAACAGGAGAACGAGAAGTCTGACCTTGTTGGCGATTGGAGAGAAGAAAATGATGTTTTTTCTCATTTCATGAAGAAATATGAGTAATCGATAGAATCGCAACACAAAGACATAGAGTCAAAGTCCATCTGAGCATTCGACAGAATTCTTTCATTTTTATTTTTAATATTCCATTATTTTTTCTTGTAAGCTTGTACTTTACATTTGCTTTTTTTTTAATTCACATATAGTAATATCATAACGTTAAACAACTTCTCTTTTTCTTTTAGATAAAAAAAAATGGATAGGTTGAAAAAATCTCACCGGACAAAGATACAAACAGATGGATCTATGGAAACTGATAAAACACGACGTAGTCCACCCAAAGTTACTTGGAACCATTCATGGTCATTAGATGAGATACAAAATGCATTGGTAGAGTCTCATTTCAAATTAGTGCCTACTGAAGTGATGTTGCATGTATTTAAATTTTTGTCTGTACATGATTTAAGTAATGTTTCATTGGTTTGTCGTTCATTTAAAATGGTTGCCGATCAAGACGATATTTGGAAATTAAAATGTAAATGTAAGTTTATTCATTTCATTTTTTTCTCTGCATTTAATTTATGATTATTATGATGCAGCATCAACAAAATTACATTCAAAATCTTTCAAGCAGATTTATATGGATTGGATGCATGAAAAATATTTACGAAACATAGAATTGGAAGAAGTCGAAGCTCTGTATCGTGAACGAAGTTCACATGTTGCTTGTGGAATGAGATGTGGACCACCGCAATATCCTATTCGACCAGCAGGCAAACATCACTTTGTACCCATTGGTAATTTTAAACAACATCCAAATGAATCCGACACAATGTAAAAGAAAAATTTTATAAGTTGATAAACAATATAGCACATATCTTACTTAAAGCTGAATCGGTAAATCAGTACCGAACTGGTTGTTCTGTGGGTTACTGGTTCGATTCGGTTGAACTCTTAAAACCAGTCGGTTTTTCTAATTGATTTTTGAAACACTAAAGTTAGCCTATTTCGCTCGTTTTTAACGATTTTCAAGATAAAAAGACGTGAGTCTGAAAGTTTCCAACTGAAAAAATTTCAGCCGTTGTCAAAATCCCAGCTCTATGATATTGAACTAGAACTTTCTCTTGATACGATGAGAGCCTCGGATCATGCTGAATAAATCTATTATGCTCACGAACAGTTAGTCAGGTATTAGAAGTTAACTTCAGTTTAAGCAAAAGATTTTCACGTTGAAATTTCGATCACACTTTTCTGAATTACTTTTAACCGACTCTCATATAATTTCAATAGTTGATAGTTTTCAGTTCGTGCTTTCATTTTAACAAATATTAGAACAATTTCGTTCTGTTGTCATGATCTCACCAAATACTATGTATCTTCATGCAATCATGAAAACATTTACATATTTAAAACTCTAAAACCAGGAAGTCTAATGTAAAAGATCATACGTTTTAGCTTTCCTTATCTTTCTGTCAAAAATAGTATGTTTTTACGATTTGAGATACCTTCCCAACTATGCTATATGATTATTTCAAATAGACATAGATCAAACTTCTTAATTGTAAAGAAAATATATCATTATTAAAAAGTCAATAAAGTGTAGTATAGATATATTGTCGAATATTACTTGCTATGAGTTACTAGATAAAACGTTTTGAAGAAAATCTTCATTCGTCTTCAATGCTAACACATATGAAACATGCCAGACTAAAATAGAAGTGACTACTATTAGAAAATGCAAGGATTATATGATTTTTAGACTTTTTTTTGTCGAAAAAAACTGATTTGTTAATTAACATATTAAATGCACCGGTTTTTCGTCGGTTAAGTCAACAAAAAATCCGACCGGTTCCAAATATGGAGCATATCTTTTAAGATTTGTGAAGAGTAATTCCATCAGACATATATGTAACCAAATCAACGTAAAACTATTCTGAGGATCATTCTATCTCAGTAATTTGTTATATTGAACGACAAAAAAGAAATTTATGAAAAACATTATATATATTTGTATCTATTGTTTAGGTCTATCAAGTTATCGGTTGACATTGATAGAACAGCTCATGAACTCATATCATTATTGGAAAAAGCATCTCAATTTCAAGCTGAATGGCGTCAATCATTAATCATAAAACAAATGATAACAAGATACTACCGTTTTATGCAATTAAAAGCTTCTTGCCCAAGTAATATTCTACTTGTACCAACATTAGATATTGAAATTATTTGGCAAACACATCTTTTACGACCAGAAATGTATCGAGAAGATTGTATGAGATTATTTCATCGAGTTATTGATCATTCTTTACTGGCAACTGAAATTGAACAATGTTTAAAGGAACAAGCATTTATTGATACTTGTAAACTATATGAAGAACGATATGGAGAACAATATTGTCCATTACCAAAAGCTGAAGACAACATGGAAGCCGTTCCTAAATATGTTCATCCAGTTTTTGGTTCATTAAAATGTCTTATTCCAATCTATTCATATTGGGATAAAACACATTTTACATTTTCATCGAAACCATCGGCTAAATTTGATGAAAATCCGTTTTCATTTACTGAAGCTGATATTATTCTTGATGGAAATTGGCTTGATTTATGTAAAAAATTTATGAAAAACATGCTGCAAGAAGTTCCTATTAGTGGTTATTATTATCGCGAATCCGATAAAATCGATCTCGGTACAACAGCCATGAAGCGATTAAAAAAATCTTATGAACGATTTTTATACATGGCAACTAAATATCCACCATCAAATGGATATACCTTTGTACATCCAACATATGCAGTAAGAATATAAATTTTTTGAGTAAAACAAAGAAATTTTATTTTTTTAATAGATTGATATCATTTGGCATTCACATATGCAAGACCCATTAAAATATGCATCGGATTGTATTCATCTCGTTGGTTATGTTATTGACCATGCACCATGGCCATCAGTTGATGAAAATAAAATGAAAAATTCTTGTAATGATACAATAAATGCTTGGAAAAAAGAATTTGAAAGTGACATGTCAACTGATCATTTATATAATACTGTTACGAATAATTTTGATTATTGGAATGATTAAACATATCTAAACGAATCGAGACAATTTTTTAAATTAATTCATCAACTAAGATTTATTTCTTGCTTAAATAAACTTCATAAAACTATACAACTACCACAATAGTATTTTTGAAACATCTATTACACCGCTAACGTCGTCGCGATAGTAATGCAGCAGCGCCACCATGGATACCTCTACTACAAATAATCTTAGTTATATAGATTTCGATAATGTTTGTGTCATTCAATTTGTAAATAAGATTTTCATATTTTACTGCTCTTCTGACAGAAGGATTATCAATCACTACTATTATTCATGTTCGTGTGTGTAATATGATATACTTCTGTCGACAAATTAGATCGATTAGCTATTTCATTTGTATGTATTAACTAATAATCGATTAATAATAATTCCAGTACAATTGCAAAACAATATTCTGTCTTTTCAAAAAGTTATGTATAATAAAGTCACTATACAACCTAATCAATATGATTATTGAGATATATAGGTTGGAAGTATTAATGGTTGGTAGATGATTTATCGTTTGAAGTTTTATGTACATTATGAAAATATCAATTCGAATTAGAACTTTAATAGCTATAGTTTTATTTTAACTTTAATGAATTCGAATGTATAGCTGACCTTATTTTTAAAAGAACCAGAGAAGTTTTAATAAAATATTCGAATAGATTTTTCTAAAAAACGTATTTTGATAGTTATTAACATATGCAAAACTGAATATGTAAAATTCATCTTGTGAGCAATTATTATTGTTGTCTAGAAAATTTTTCTTCAGTATTAAAAATTCTTAAATTAATTTACTTTCATATTTAGTAAAACTATTAATTATTCTTGTCAAATATTGATCCCATTAAACAATCTGTCTTTTAAATATGGTCAGACACTTTATGATTGTCAAAAAAATGAATTGATAGTTCCAGTAGTTCAACTCATATAGTCCATGAATTTTGATTAGTGAATAGAATATATAGAGGATTTCATTCAAATAAGAAGACTAAGAGAAAAAAAAACATTTGTTAAATTAAGCGAATTATTTCGATTACTATATAATTAACAAAGCATGATTTGTTGTATTTGATGATGCAACATATCGATTAGGTGAATGAGCATAAAATTGGAACAATTTTTTAATCATCAAGAAGAGAATACTTGGAACAATAAGAAAAATCAATCAGACACAAAATTTGCAATCATAACACTTCAATTGGTTTGATGGCAAGACTGAAAAATTTAGCAAGTTGACTATATAAAGGAACACATGGGTCGATATTTGTATGGCTAAAATATCCAAAAAAAAGCAATTTGAAGATTTTAACATTCTAGCAATTATTTTTCTTTGATGCGACACAAGAGATTAATAACACTGCTTTTCAATATTTGTTCAAAGTGATGGTATTACTTTTATGATTGTCCTATGATTTATTTACTTCTATATTTGCTTTATAGTATGACATTAGTGTATGGCTTTATAAACAAAAAATAATAATTTTTTTCTATACAATAGATTTAGATAATCTTAACAAATGAAAGTTTTTGAACCAATTTTTGTGTAACTATTGAAAAAGATCATAATCTGTTTCTACTAATTTGACTTTACAATATCTAAGATTGATTCCAACTAAAAAAGTTACAAAGAAATATATTCTATGATACACTTGTTCTATTTTCACAGTAAAGAAATAATTTTCGAATGATTATTAAGTCAAATGTATTTCGATCCAAAATTTTGAATAGGATGAAATTCAAAAAATAAGGCTTATGGTTCAACTACTACATTAATTAACAAGATGTTAAATTTATTAATCCCTGCTGATATAGATTAACAACAATATACTATGATGCATGTCTATGCTGTTGATATTTATAGCTTTGGGAATCATTAGGTTTTATTAAAATAATAAGATTAAAAACCAATTTCAACAAGCTTCAATCTGTCTGATAATGATATATCATAAAATAATTGTCAAAACATCACAAGTTGTTGATAAATATAATTTACAGTGGACGTCAAAAGTCTCGCACCACTTTTTTGTTTTGAGTCGTGTATTTAGACTACACAACATTAATTCAATTCAATTATATGTTTGCATAGCAGAGATCGAGTACTATATATATATACATCTGTTCAATTCGAAAAACCCTTGAATATGAAATACAATAAGAAAAACAAACTCCAGTACTACGAAAAAAATTACATAAAAAAAGACAACATGATAATAAAAATGTTTGGAAGGCTTTTTGCTGTGCAATAGGAATTTCTTTATACGGCTTTTATAGAGCTTTTGACGGTGCATCTTTTGAAAAAAAATCAAGATGCTATCATTTTCTTAAGCCGAGATACATGCAAAATATAACAGTCTTCCAAACATTTTTATTATGTTAAATACGGTGGGAAGTAGCAGTATCATGGATTATTTTTTCATTTTTAGTATAAGAAGAAACCATCAAAAGAAGTCAATAGGGTTTGTTCGTACAGATTTTGTAGAGCTTTTCACGGCGCATCTTTTGAAATAAAAACCAAGATTTTATCATTTGTTTTTGCAGAGATATTCATAAAACAAACTATGTTAGAAACATTTTTTGAACACCGGGTATTCTACAGTGTTTAATATTTTGATTATAATACCGTCATTTCTCAATGAAATTCAAAATATTTTTTTACTAAAATGATCAGCGAAAAAAGCTCTACAAAGTCTGTTAAAATGATAAGTTTTCTGAATACTTTGAGTTTTTTATGGATGACTGTCTATAAAAGTATCCTATAACAACAATATCATTTTGTCTTTTTTTATATAACTTTTTTCTTAGTACTGGAGTTTGTTTTTCTTATTCTATTTCATATTCAAGGATTTTTCGAATTGAACAGATGTATATATATAGTACTCGATCTCTGCTATTCAAACATATAATTGAATTGAATTAATGTTGAGTAGTTTAAATACACGACTCAAAACAAAAAAGTGGTCCGAGACTTTTGACGTCCACTGTACATCTATTTAGTTATAATGTGAATAGTCTTTCGATAATTTCAACAAAGTATTGTATAAACCAATTATTCTTCACGTTATATTTATCAAATATTTCATTGAAATAAAAGTCATTTCGTTCATCGAAAGAAAAACACAATGCTTTTTTATTATTATCTATTAACATATTGTTAATAAAATTCAATTTATTTCAACAAGATATTTGTCAGTCTTAATTTAGAAACTATTTGTTGCATTAAATACTTAAGTACATCGAGATTTAAAACTCTATACTTAAAAATAATCCACCAAATCTTTAATTTCACTATTACAGTGAAGATATCTTTTAATTAACTCTTAACATACAATTTATAATTAATTGTAAGTAATGTTGTAAAGAAGTTATATATGCATATTTGTACTCTGAAAATATTCAGTATAAAAAATTGAATTATTTCAACTCGTGTAAATTTGTGATGATGACGAACATTTAGCTGTCACTCTTAGTTAAATGACATGATATTATATATTTTTCTTGTGATATAATAGACATATAGATTATTATAAAATACACTGATTGACTTTAAAGGTAAATTTTCAAGCGAGATAAGAATTCAGTTTTTAGTACAATGCTTTTTATCCTTTGATTATATGTACATTTAAAGCCTGTTTATAATACTCATCAACTAAACAGTGGAAAGTTTTCAATCAAAGATGTTTATTGCTTATTACTTCATCAATATATTGAAGCATCACTTTTAATATAAGAACAGGCTTCGCTTATGTCTTATCTGAGGTACACATATGATCAAAGACACTGATCGAAAGCATTGTTTAGAGTCCCATAATTTCCACATAGAAACGACATATGAAAAATATGCTTTAATTCAATTGAATATACACTTTAAATCAAATTTACCTCCTTTCTATGATTTTCTTATAGTACACACATTAATGTCATACAAATTCATGCTTGTTTTTTTAGCACATTTTTCATTTTTACTGTGATTGCCAGTTGCTCTATAGCTGTAATCTATGGTAAGTCTTAAAATATTTTTCCTAGAGAAGTTATCTATCAGTCTTATTTGAAAGATGCAAGTTTAGTTGGATATTTCTAAATTATTGCTATCTTCACTTCGTATTTTAAATAGCTTTTTTAAATTTATATTGTTCTCACTTTTTTCGTTTGGATTTACGACTTGTATCTACCGTTCAATACGCAATCACATTGATGACTATCATTTTATTCTTCCCCAATGTCGACTGTTGACCTATATAGTAATATATGGCGCGAAAGTCTTAGTACAAAATGTTCACTCGTTTTTTTTCAGGCATTTAGACACAATTGTTGAGAGTCAAAAATAAGTCTGGTACAATCAGAATTGTGTTCTTTTTCAGAATATATGTTCAGAATTTTCTTTGACATAATCTAAGTCAACTATAAGAAAACTTTTGAAATAGGTCCCAAATTATGTCTGTACAAAGTAAAATAGAAAACGTTGCGCAATTGTATTTGGAAACAGTTTTAACTCGACACTATTATAAAGTATTGAATTCTATAAAAAAATTAACTGTTACAATAAACAAAATCTCAAATCGTTCAAAAGTTATGTATTCTCTCGGAAGAGCTACTTGTCATGTAACGTGATCTTGGTTCAAATCTCGATTTTTGAAACATAACTCTTCTAAAATACAAAATATTTTAAATTTTAAATACATGATAAAACAGAAAATAAATATCACATTTTGTATTAAGTAGATTTTAGTCTAAATACAAAATAAAACTCTGTCAAGACATCATTTTGTATCTATTTCAAAATTTTCTCATAGTTGACCTAGCCTTATGTCAAAACAAAATTCTAAACATATATTTTGAAAGAGCCCAAAATTCTGATTCTAAATGACTGCTTTTGAGTTTCAACAATTGCATCTAAGTACCCGAGAAATGAGTGAACATTTTGTATCAAGACTTTTGTAGCATATAGGTTATTACTCGAAGAAATAATTAACATGTGACGTTCAGAAAAAAGAGATTAAATTTAACCTGAAAAGTAATTATTTTTCAATTCAATCTATGTAGAATATAGAAATAAATAAAACGAGGCTTTTTTTTTGATAAATAAATTTGTACTGAAAAATTATAAAAAAAAAATATTGACGATGGCGTTAGAAAATTTCTGAGAAGTAAAATTCATTTTACTATCAAGCAACAGTAAGGATATATAATAGAATTTGATTATATCTGTATAAGTCATCAATTTTATCTCAGAATGATATTAAGTTTTTATCGAAAAAAAATTGATATAGTATAAATCATTAAAAGTAAATTTGACTTTTCTGTTTGTGCTTTTTGGTCTTGATATGTTTTTGTAGAAAAATAGGAGAAGTTCTTAGTATTTTTTTGTTTATTCTAGATTTTTTTTTTCTTAACAAATCTAATCATAGAGACAAATGGAAAGTCCACTTGCTCAAAAGATTGGCTTTTATGGTTATATGTTCACGTTTCCTTTAGGTTTTATAGGACATGCATTGAGTTTGGTAACATTCTCATCTCAACTTCTTCATGCAACATCTACCGGATTTCTTTTTATTTGCTTAACTCTTTCTGATATATTATATCAATTAATGTCAATTCATGATTTTATTGTTCAAGTTTTGCGAGTGGCAACATTTAAAAGCGTATATCTTTGTCGTTTTCATACATTTTTTCTCAACTTTTCAACTTTTACATCAGCATGGATTCTTGTATTAATTAGCATGGATCGATTAATTCGTGTACGTTTTCCACATCAACAAAGACGATTATGTACACGAAAATTAGCTGCTTTGTTCATTGGCATTACTTGTATATGTTCGATTACATTTACAAGTCATGTTCTTCAATCGGACTTTGGTTTTAGTAACCCAATTAGAAAATTATGTGGGCCAAGTCGTTTTGCGCTAACATTTTATTCAATTTTCTATTTTAATACTTGGCCAATTCTTCAATTATTAATAACTTATTTTATTCCAAGTTGTTTAATGATTGTTTCTGTAATATGTATTCGTATTAGTATGAATGTACAACGAATACAATTTTTACGATCAAGAAGAAGAGAAAGACTTGAACAACAAATGTTTATTTTAATGGCTTCAAGTATAATATGTTTTTCAATATGTACATTGTCTTATTCTATTCATCGTATTGTTTATCAACGATCTGAAATTAATTCAACAACATTAATTGAAATTGCAATATTGACTATTCTTTTAAATATGAATTATTGTTATAACTTTTATATTCATTGTTTAACATCGAAACTCTTTCGAGAAAAATTTATTGAACAAGTCAAACGAATCTTTTGTTGTTGGAAAAGACAAATCAATAATACAGTATATCCTTTGTCAACGATTACTAAACCACGAAATTAACTAACAAAACAAAAAATATAAAAGACAATCTAAATTATGTATTTTTCGTCAATTGATTAGAAAAACAATAAAAATATCTTTATCAGATTCTATGATAATATTATCTGTTCAGTTTAATAATACACATCTCTATATAATCTTTATGTTTTAACTTTCAATACGAATTATTTCGAAGAATAAAAGAAGCAAAACAATCTATTCTATGAAATAGAGATTCTATGACTCTGCACTTTTAGATTAAAATTAATTTTGTGTAATATTTTCTAAAAGAAATGTTAATATATAGATATAGAAATTCGAAACATCACAGTTCGTCATAGATATTTTAGCAATAGCTCATCACTGACAACTTAGCAATGTTTTGTCAGAAATCATGATGAATTTCACTTCGAAACCGATGACTCGAGTATCGTTGTAGGAGTCATTGAACAGAACAGTTATAAGTTAATAGGAGAACTAGAAACATTGGAGAATATTGATGTAAATTATGCTATTTGATCAAATAGAATATCGAGAACATAAAAAGTCACATTTTATTGATTTCTTCAATACCATCATCTATCCCTAACAGTAATTATATAATGTTTCAAATTTTTATCTCATAATGATTGCGTTAATAGATTCTCTGACTTACTGCTATAACACATTTAATCTATGACAAAAAAATTTCAGGATTAAAGAAAATGATAATTTCTTGACATCGAGGACAGAATATGATTTTGTTGTTAATCTTATGTTTATTTAAAAAATCTCAGACAAGATTAATTCTTTTATGAAATAGAAAAAAGGAAATAATGGAAGCTGATTTTCAAAAGCATATAATGAGTGCAACAAATAATCGAATATTGAAAATATTTATTTTTGGTATTTTTGTTTTAATTTCGAGCACATCGATAGTCACCGAATATTTAGCATTCAAAAATGTGTCTCATCGAACACATTTCGATAGATCAGAAATTATCAAAATTTTCAAATACTCAATCTAGTTTTATTTAGGTGAAACTTGTTCTAAAACCGATATTTGAAGTATTCTTTATTTCGATTCAATGATCTTAGCAGAATCATTGATGTTTATCATACACTAATTGAAACCATATATGACTTTTGTTTTACTCACTATCACTTTTTTGTATCTTCTAAACATGAATTAAAAGATTTGCATATCTACCATTCAAACACAGAGAGAAAATTTCAACTGTTAAGAATTTATACAGAAAAAAAAATTAATTTATAATATCAAAAATGAACAAAACTCAGTTTCTTATTTTCAATGTTTATTTTTATCAAGTAAACGAATTTTATGATTTTTTAAATTACTAGATTTAAACGATAAGTATAGTTTTATAGTAGAATATGTATAGTTTTCTTCTAAATAAAGCTTTTTACAACACTGATAACTTTAATATAGTCAAAAGCATTGGTTTCAAAATAATTATATAGTTCAATAAGTATAACATAAAAATTAACGTGATTTCACAATAAGAAAGTAACTTCCTATGTTAAATCTTTGGTTAATCTTAAATAAGAACTGACATCGCTATATATTTTTTTTACTGTTTTGAAACATGTTTGATATCATTTTGTTTTAAATAAAATAATATATTGATTCGTTTGATTGTTCAGGACCAAGAATGAATTTAGTATAGAAGATACCGGAAAAATAAGTTCTTACGTTTAATTTTTTATTACTCGTAAACGAGAACATATAGTCTAACAACTTATTTCACTATTTTTGAGTGTATTTATTTTTTGTTTTATGTGTAAAACAAAAAAGTGGCATTTTGCATAATTACAAAATGAATCAACATAATCTTTGTGCATGAATTAATATAAAATCAATTCTGTACATCGAAAAATAGCAATTATCTTGTTCTTTTCTGAATCTTTTACTTCAGCATCCCAAACTTGTGTTGTTTTTCCTTCATGAATTAAACGAGCTTCACATGTCACCAAGGCTTGGGCTTTTACTGTTCCCATAAAATTTGATTTTAATTCAATTGTTGTAAATGATTTAGCTTCAGATGATTTGGAATTCAAACAACCATAACCACAAGCTGTATCAGCTAATGTAACAATAACACCTGCATGAAGGTAACCATTCGGTGCTAAGAGTTCTTCACGAATTTTAAGCTGACAAGAAACATAACCATGAGATATAGATAAAATTTCCAGACCAATTACACCCGGAAATGTACCTTTGCCACGATCATTCCACCGTGTTAATTTAATAAATTCATCAATGGATATTTTCTTGGTTGTTTTATCATCAATTGTATTTTCAGATGTCGAGCTAAAGTTAAATGATATACAGAATGGCATAAAAAAACCAATAGGTTTAGAAAAATTTTATTGTAAAAAGTCTGTTGTATCAGTTTTCGATTTGATTGAAAATCTTAACCAAGTACATTTCTCAGTACACATATTAGCAAGAAAATTGTTTTGTTATGTTCGATCTATGTGTGAGGATAATGAAAATTTAAGCCAAACAAGAGAACTTACTTTGTGAGATAATGTGGATTTGTTGGAGAATGAGAATCACTTCGAATTTGTTTGAAAACAGATGGTGGTTGCTGTTTTATTTTACTATCAACATGATAATAGAATTGATGTTCTTGTCGATCAATAATTGATTTTAATTGGAGATTTGTATGATAAGCTTCGATGACAGATGAATCACATATGTAATTCTTCGATAAACATGATAACAGACGACAAGATGTTGGCTGAAGTTTACAAAAATTTCTATTAAATATTAACCTTGAAAACATATTGAACATACTATGAGATCTTATACAAGTAAACAAAAAATAAACATTTTCAAGTTATAATAAATTATATTACTTATTAGTTATAACAAAGTTTTGAAAGAAACGAATCTTTTCCTATTGGTAGTTGTGTATCACTTGAAAAATTCTCCATTGGTCTTAAAAAATTATTTTACTAGTGAAGACAGCGATTGCTATGAATGATAAAACATCTCATATATTAACTTTTAGAGACTTCTTGTAATAATATTCATTTTTATAATTCACATCGATTCCTCGTTCAAGATGTAGAGACATCTGTTGTTTGTTAAAAGAAAATACTAGATAATAAGATCTATCTTTATTAAGAAATCTACAATATTAAGTTAAAAAGTTAGACTTAAGGGAAGCATTGATCATTGACTAGTCTATCAAGCGCGATGCTTTCATAATTGTTAACATAGCAAACTGAGATTTTTGAAATCATCATTTAAAAACTTCATTAGTATTTATGAGCGTTTTCAACTGATGTGGAACTGTTGTAGTTTAATTGTTTTTTCTCAGAGCTCGCATACATTATCAGATAAAATCGATTTCAAGACTCAGATTTATTCACTAAACAGCTGAGTTCCCGATTGAAAAACATATGAAAATTCGAATGAATCAAATTTTCAATTTTAATCTGAAAAATACTGTTAAACTATTTCAAAATGTTTAAAAACATCCATAGATAGATCAACATATGTACATATTGAAAATATCATGATGTTTTTTCAAAAGAACGAATATCGAAAGAATCATGTTGTTTCGTGCATGAAATATTTGAAATCAGTAAAGAATTCTAAGTGAAATGAATTGTTTTTTTTTGTGCAAAAAACTGACTTTCATTTTTTACTTGTCGTTTGGCATCTGCAAGGTATCTCAAAGTTATCAATATAATTTTTCTTTCAAGTTTCTTTTGTAAATCAGGTATCATGATATGTGGATGTTAATGGTCGTTTTGAATTCTAGATTCAAAGTTAAAGACAATGAAACTTTCATTGAAGAAAATCAATTATTTTATGAACTCAAATAGAGGTTCATATCTGGACGGAACTATCTACCGAGCTGATTAATGCGTTTTGAATATTTACTATACACTCTTGTGTGTGCAAAACTTCTTCTTTCTTTGCACAATCAGTTTTTTGTAATGGGCAAACATATTTTCATGTCAAAGAATGTTGTCGCACGACCAAAGCATACATTGACATTTGTTGTTATATGTGACGACTAGAGATGCATGGGGCTTAGATTACGAGAAAAAAATTTGCTGGAGTCGGAACTCAAGTTTCTAGTAAAACTCTATGGTCTTAAGCTAAATTATCTCATAAATTATATGATTTAGAACATGATTCAGAAGAGACCAATTTATAAGAAAGACGCATGGATGACTCTCTTCCAAAACAAAATAGCCACGGAAATTCGAGTCTCTTGTTTTCGTAAACAAAATGCAGCCGATCCTATTATTCATCGAATACAATGTGATTCGCTTCAATACATTTGTTGTCGAATAAAGTGAGCACTTTCTAAATCCTTAATATTATTTTCTTCTTCTCGCTATCCTCGAGATTGACATCATTATGTTGACAGCCCGACCTATTCATCAATTTGTGAATTCTAAATGTATACGCATGCTGAGTTGCCCGACTACAGTTACTTAGGACAGTTAAAAAGTACGAAGATTTCGAAAAAGAGTAATTCAGAAAACAGTTTGATCCACTATGTATTTTATCAGATGTTCGAAGTGTAGTGATATCAATTATTTATGCACACTATTATCTGTTCAATTCATTTGTCAAAAGTTTTTTTTTACAGTTGTCTATACTAAATAAGTTTAACATTTCGGTAATGGAACAATGGAATGATCCAGAGTGGTCTTCATTGGTCAAGTGATGCCATGTCGAACGATTTAAGTAAATGTGAGATAATTGGGATACATTACAATTTCAAATATGTAAATATAATTTCATGTACATGTGGTTTGTCCTTGTTATAGTGAAGTTTCATGACTTGTGGAGCAGGTACTGGTCTTTTATTCCGAGTTTCATTGATAAGGGTTCTCAAACAATTCTTGTTCAACATGATGAATTAGAACAGGAACAATCTTTTTGAAAAAGATGCAGTATAGGATCTTCGGTGCAAAACGACTTTGCCACATGAAAGTGGTCGAAATTCTTTCAATAGACGTTCAGGTAGTATTCGACGATGTTCTATCGATTTCTTCATGATAAAACCATGGCTAGTCATCTGGCACAACATCACATAGTCACCCTGTTCCTTGCTCAGTCTTCGCCAAATTTTCTTCGCATAGTCGTCTTGGTTCAGCTCGATGAGTATCAATTGGTTGATTGGGTACTCAGCGAGCAGTAATCTTTGCAANATAGGGATGAAATAGCACAGAAAAATAGAGCTTCGTTTTCTCTATCACCTCATAAAAACAGAAAATTCCATCAAGCCTTCTATGCGAAATTGAGATGCGACCGCCACTACTTTTGGGTACCCCTAAGTAATACAATAACTGAACTATTTACAATATGATATCATTAGACTTCATTGACGAATCAGCTTGGTTTTCTACCATTTTTTTATCCATTCTATATTGTTGACTCGTGTTCGAAAAATATCTTTTGAACTAAATGACAATGTCACTTCTAGTGTAGTGTACAACACGCAACAAAGATTAAACTTGCAAGACTTTATCGATATATCAAAACCAATATAGCACAGTTTTGTCTATTTCAGTGAATTTCAAAATATTGAAAGGGCAAATATTAGTAATGTCACATTTTTTGTTCATAAAATACTTGAAAAAGAATTACATAATTAGAGCGAAAAGCTTGTTTCATTTTTATCTGTCATATGACCATGTAGATTGCAAAAAAAATCAAATGAAGCTTTCAATATGTTTTCCAATACAGTGATATATCTGCGTGTTTATATAATCAGCTTGCATATGATCTTGATCGAATTTACCTATTCTTGAGTACCGCTTAATTATTTTACTAATCTTTGTTTTTTTTCAGTGAGATTCTGCTATCTTGAGTTACTATTTATACTGTTCTTGACACATACACTTTTTAATTTATTTAAATATGCTATTTTATTAGTTAAACAATGACTAGCGATAACCGAACATTGGTAAGCACAAGCTTTTGCATTGCAAAAGCCCTACCGTTGGTCATATTCATCTATTTAAAGTGCTACATACATGTTACTATTTATCTTTAAAGTTGCCGGTTAAAACGTACTTGACAGAAAAACATTACGAAGCACATTTGCACAATCTTTTGCAATAAGAAAGAGCATTATATTCGATCGAATATTGGCATCAAATTCTATTGATTTACTATAACTTCCATTTCTTTAACTTTAATTGAACTTTAACTCCTATTCAGGAAGTTTTACAGTTCGCAAGTGTTCTCAAGTAAAATCTAACTGTTCTAGAGTTTGCGAGTATTCATATACCTCTACAGGAGAAAAGACTGTTCCAAAATGGACTTTTATCTAATCTATAAGAAATTAACCCATAAAGAGGAGCACATTCTCTTTAATAAAACGACAAAACAGAAAAAAAAAGTGATTCGTTAAAAATTAATCAATAATTTCAATTCAACTCACACATGAGTGTGCGTGTAGGTTGATGCATACTTGGAACATGCTTTCTTATCAAGCGGTGGTGACCTCGGATCATGTTGAATGAATTTATTATGGTCATGAACACTTAGCAAGCTGTCAGAAGTCAAATTTGTGCTGAACTAAAGATCCCTTGCTCGAAATTTTGAATTCACTTTTCTGGACTACTTTCAACCGACTGTAGGAAACTCTCAATAGCTAGTAGTTGTCAATTCATTCTTTCATTACAAAGATATCAGAAACAATTTTCTTCTGTTGTTAAAGTTATACCAACTACTACTAGTAGTCTCATGTAACTATGAAAATATCTAAATATTACGAAATCTAAAAATATTATGTTCAGGATAAAATCCCAATTTTGTAGTTCATTTTGTCTTTCTATCTGTAGTAATAGTCTTACACAAATTGACAAGCCTTTCAGTAATGTTAAATAATGATTTCAAATAAGAAAACATCAAAATTATCAATTTCTGAACAAATATCATATTTTTATTGAAGAAAGTTAGGCAAAACAAAGTCTAGATGTTGTATAATATCAGTCGATGTGAGTTACTAGATCAAAGGTTTTGAAGGAGTTCTTCCTTTGTTCCTATATTAGTTTATATATCGAACGTATCACAGTACAATAGACATTTTTGAACTTCTATTGTACTGTGATACGTTCGATATATAGACTAATATGGGAACAAAGGAAGAATTCTTTCAAAAATTTTCATCTACTCACTCATATCAACTGCTATTGAACAATATTTAGATGTTATTTCGACTAACTTTCTTCAATAAATATATAATATCAGTTCAGAAATTGATAAGTTTGATGTTTTCTTATTTCAAATCCTTATTTAAAACAATTGAAAGGCTACTCAATTCGTATAAGGATAGTACTGTCGATAGGAACACAAAATGAGGTTCAAAGTTCGATTTTTGTACCAGGCTGCATATTTTTAGGCTTCTTAATACCTGAATCTTGTCACAGTTGCATGAAGTAGGAGTTGACAGAACTTCCACAATAAAGCGAAATCTTTTTCCATATTTATGTGACAAAAGCATAAACCAAAACTACTAGCTATTGAGAGTTTCTGATAATCAGTTAACAGCAGCACAGCAAAATTGAACTCGAAATGTCGAAGTTGAAAATATTTAGTTGACACAAAATTTTACTTCTTATTGCTACATAACTTTTTAAAACTATAATCAATGCATTCAACATGATCCGAGTGCTTTTTGCACTATGAGAAAGCATGAATTCAAAATTTAGAGCCAGAATCTTGATGACGACTAGAAATCAAAGACGAACACAATAGACTAACTTCAGCAGTCTAGCAATTGACAAAAACTGGTTAGTTTTGAAA